CTCAACATTCAAAATTAAATTTCTCAGTTTTGTTTCTTTTTAGCATAGTCGTCGGCTCAATGGGCATTTTGATCCACTTCTGTGAGACAGATTTTCCTAAACTTGGTATTAATTTTTTATTGAAATAACTACACTTTGGTAGGCTACAACTACCTGGTACCTCATAATTGGACATCATTAGAGCCTTTATTGTATGGCTTCCAGTTACTTTAGTTTTTATACTAGATTATAAGGTGCTAAAGAGATAAAAACAGATTTATCTTGCTTGGTATTTATTTAGGAGCACTTGATATATTGTTTTAATCGAAATTTTAATTAGTTGGATTTTGAAACCATGTAAGAAATGAGCTAATTAGTTATTATATTCTGTCTATAACTTTTGACAAGTAAGAGATGTCTGAAATCTGATTGCAGTTATGAAATCAGCATAAAAAACTGGACATCTGAGCCAAAAAATCAGATTGACCAATAAAAAAAATATATTATTTTTTAGAAGTTGCTTAAGAATTGTGTTTTCACGAAATGACACGGACCCTTCCTTTGCAGCTGCCAGCCAGATCCAACTCTCCGCAGCTCTACAGCCACACAACAGTAAAGCCCAAGGTTCGAGCTTTGCTTTTACAGACCTCATAGGTGTGAAATCTTTAAATCTGTTGCATCACCTCTAATGTATTTGAGACTGCGAAACCATCAACACTGATTGCTATCCTGCCAACCCACCCCAGGTTCGAGCAACAAAACGGAAGCTGCCAGCCAGGACAGCTCGTCTTCCCTCAACGAGTTGGCGAGGCGACTCGAAGAGGACCATGCCGAGGAAGCGGAAGCAGGTACGCTCATTGCCGACCTGCACCGCGGTGACGTGCACGTTGCATTGTGGAAGATTTTCCATAGTGCACCGTGCGGGAGGGGGGGGGGGGGGGGAGGAGGAGGAGGAGGAGGAGGAGGAGGAGGAGGAGGAGGAGGAGGAGGAGGAGGAGGAGGAAGGGCGGCAAACCGTCCCCTCCCCTCCTCCTAAAGGGCTGCGCTCTAATTCCGCATTACAGGGAGTTGCAAACGTGTCATTTTTTTAATAATGTTTAAAAGACATAATAAACAATGACAGTAGTACTTTTATCACATTGTAAAGTATATATATAGATTGCAATCGAAATGATAAAACTCGTTCAGAAAATATACCTTCCGTTGTGTATCGCCAAAGTTGACCACTCTGGCTACGCACGTAAATGTGATTTTTCACCTCTTCGTGATCTATGTTTTTTGGTGGGTGAAAATAATTGATTTTGTTTATACCGAGGATCGGGAAATAACAAAATAATGAAGCAAATTAAAAAGGTTGATTGGCCACCCTAAGTTCGATCTTATCTGAGATCACCCTGTTGACGAGTGTGGCCTACAGGCAACAAACCACATAATAATTTTCTTTTGTTTAACAGTTTTGGTTTTATCACTTTTTTTTAATAGTCTAACAACCGTCGAAGATTGAAACTACAGCGCCATCTAGTGCAAAGATATGCAAATAGTTGACAAGGAAAAATATGTTCTGCACGAAAATATGTGTTGATCAAGAACGGCGAAAAATATGGATAAGTATTTTTCTCTGGCCTCCAATATTCTACGATAGGTCATCGTTTTACTTGAGGCTATCGTATGCGCAGATATTACTAACATCTTATAGCGATTCATATTTAAGCAAGGGAACCACCTTCGGACTTCTGCCTGGTGTTGCCCACAGGCAACAAAGCTATGTGGAGCGCAAGTTTGTTTGCTTCTTCTACAGGGGTTCCGTTGATGTCAAATTGCCGGGCTCTTGTTGTCCGATTTAAAAAAAAAAAATAGTGGGTAGACCTCAAGCTATTTGGCATTGAGGTCTGCCCACTCTCCTTTTAATCAGAGCGAATCAGAACTCGGCGCCGTTCTGATGTCGGCACCGTTCTGACGTCGCCGCAACCCCTGCGCAAGAAGCAGACTACTTGCTCTCCACATAACTTTCAAGTTTACCTTACGATTTTTTTTTACTTTAGCTGTGTTGTTTTATTTGATCTTGTTAAACATTATTAAAAAATGAATGTTGTAGGTAATTTTTGTATACCTTGTCAATAAAGGGTTGGAGAAGATTTGGAACAATAAGTATCAAGCATAAACATGACTTGTGCCAAAGCAAAGATCAGAAAGCAATGTCCCGACCCCCCCCCCCCCCCCCCCCCCCCCCCCCCCCAAGTGCCTTCAATTTATTTTTGAATTGGATTAAAGAGCAGTTAAATGTACCCAAAGCTCCCAGCATGGCATTTGTACTGCTCTGGCCTGAATGCCGCTGCACCAGCTCACATGGTCTCACCCTGTACCAGCAAAATGAAAAAACACGAGAATTTCGTTTCAGGTGCCGAGGACGCCGATCAGCCGACAAAAGAAGACCCTTCAGCAGAGCCGCAGGTTTCGCCCGAAACTCTTCGCCACGTCAAAGACAACCTTCAAAGGCACCTGCTCAAGCTTAAAAAGAAACGTAAAAAACAATGACCTTTTAATTATGTAGATGTTCTCATCCTCAAGCTGCAGAGAACACACCTTGAGTTAGGTTCATTTCAAATACCATCCCAATGTATGCTTATGGTAATGTTTTTTGTTTGTTTTACTCAGGATGCAAAGTATTTTTCTATGAAAAGTTGTAAATAAGAGTCAGTTATTGCAGTGATGCGTAAAACTGTGCACGATATTGAAATTGTTGAAGTATGCCAAATAAAAACACGGCTGAAATGAGGCACTGTCGGAGTTGGAGCCACCACAAATCTGGGCCAATGATGTCCACAAATGGCAGCCTTTGTGCACTGCCTAGAACGTTAGCCCTGCCATTCTTAGGCCTCCGAAATGCGGGGGAAATTTGAGAAACCTATCCTTCTAATTTCTTATGCAAACTATGTGCACAACTGAACACAAGAGGCTGCTTATCACCTTTCCAGCACACACGTGGCACAAATATGTGCTCTGCCAGAGCAGTGGCAGTCAGTTTGTGAACGTTTCAGCTTGTTTAGGTGCACCAAAAAGCGCTAACGGGGGCACCTGCACAAGCAATTTATATAATTTTTTTTTTTCCAGTTGGGGTTGGGTGGAAGGGGGGGGGGGGTTGAGCCACCCTCGACGAGTGGCTCAAACCCCCTTCTTCAGTTGACCCAGGTTGCCGCGTCGGACAGAGAGTCATCACCTAAATGTTTCTTCCACCGTGGTTGCAACGGACTATGGCATTTTCGGCGTTATGATGTTTGGTCACCGGTGAGACGTCTAGCTCACTCTGTTGTCACCAGAGCTAGACGACGAAAGGCGGCGGTAAACGACGAGAGGAGGCGATAAACGTCTCGGGCCACCAGGAGCCCGGTCGTCTTCCAAGTATTCTTCTAAGTTGTGAGCGCACAGCTTTTGAGTGGCAACGCCCCGAAACACACTGTTCGCTTGGGAGAAACCAATGCGACTGGCTGCTGATGTCGAGGCTACGGCGATTGCAGCCGCCGAGGGTGGCCTCGGCGGCTGCAATTATCATGTTCAGTAAGGATATCCTTTAACGAATTCTTATTTTCAGACTTGTTCTGGTTTCGTTTTCACTTCCCGGCATGGAAACATTTTGTACTATTGAAAATCATTCGGGAGAAGACCTTTTTGGTCTTCCTATATAAGGGAACCTGAAAACGTCTTCAAGACGTCTTTGAAAGGACTAGAATGTCCCGACTAGTTCCAGATGTCCCGACGACTTTTTCGTAGGGACGAAGATGTCTAGACCAGCTGAGGACGTCCTTAGGACCATCTCCATTGTCTGGGCAGTTGTGTGCCCTATGGCGCATGGACCGCCGAAAACTCCAAGCAGGGGATAGTCCTTAGTCTTTATTTCTTGGCTCTAAAGAGCCCAGAAATAAAGACTGAATAAAGGCAGCAGCCCATACCATGTAAGCCCGCGGTGTCACGTCTAGTGAACATGATAATGTGATGAGTATACACGTGCAAGATGACTACGACATGGGCAGTTGGTATTGGGGAGGATGGCAGTTTGACTCGCAGAAGTCCAGATTTCGTGGAGGCGGGTCAGCAGCGAGCCATGGAGATCTGGCATGCCGTTCGCGGAAGTCCAGATTTCGTGGAGGCGGATTGGGCGGGTCTGCAGCAAGCCATCGGGATCTGGCACGCCGTTCGATCGGGGCATGACGGAGCCTCAGGAACATGATGGCGCTGTTCCTCACTGGGGTCGAAGCATCGGGCTCCAAGGAGGAAACCCAGCCAAAGTTGAAGCTGCCGTCTCCGAGGAACTGAGGCCCAGATCTCAGATTGAGGCACCGCCGTCGCCGGTGTGTCATCCTCTCAACGTCGTCATCTTGCATACTGATTTCTCAACGCTGTTCCCGTGTATCAATATCTGTACCCTGTAATCAATCAGCCCTGGCAGTTTGCTGCACAATTTTGAATGCAAACGAAACAGACGAATCCAAAACGGAGGAACAGGGAAGGGGTGGCGTTTCAATATAGGTTGATTCAACGTCTCGCTGCAGCGGGGCGCCCGTTACATGATTTTCCTCTTATCTTGCCACTCTACCTTTTTACTTTCGGCGGCCGTGACACGTGACTATTTGTCGGGCTTTGTCAATATAAAGGAGGCTATGGTATTACGTAATGCAAAAATAAACACACATTGAGCAACCGTTCAATGGGCTCTGTAACCCAAGCAGAATAATGGCTGAATTTGTATTCCTCGAGACTGATGCTCTGTCACATAAGCCTAAAAATGTTTGCCATTAGGAAAACATAGGACCAAAATACTAGCGTTACACAAAAAACGAGCAGAAGGTATAGCCTGGTGTACAATGACAAACTCATGTCTAAAAATTCTGATGCAGAGGGCCAGGCGATACAGAACAATCATCAGCAGTAAGAACACTGCGGAATAAAATATAATGAACACCTAAACACGAGTGATGTCTCAAAGCTAGATGTCTCGTAAGACACATGATGACGGAGATCCCAGAGCAGAAATGGAAAGCATTTTAATGTTGATTCCAAGTTCACTCTACCCTTCGTCAATGCAGTCCTGCAAAGGAATTTCAAGCTATATTGAAAATTGTTAAAATCTCAATTTATAGCAAAACCTGCTGAGGGGGTGGGGGGCGAGAGGGAATTCAACTAGCAATGTGCGAATCGGGAAAGGGGGGGCACAAATTGCTGCGACGCTTACACGCTCAGAAATCGGTCCCCCGCCAAGGTAACTGCTGAATTGAGATCACTGCAAGATACAGGACATCAATATAGAAATCTTTTACAAGATGACTCCACATATAATTCAGTACCAAGACCTGCAACCGCTGAAAGGAAACTACAGTGTGCGAGATGAAACTGCCAGCCTTTTCTTTTTATTAAAACACGGTAAAACCAAGTTCTAGTCGCACATGTTTTTTCTGCAACGTTACATTCACATAGAGGTAAACGAAAAAAAACAATGAAGGCATTTTTACAAACTCATTAGACCACACCTTAAAAGAGCACACCTCGAGCAAGTGGAAAGGAAGATGAAACGAGCAAAAGCATGATCCCACTTGCAACACCTGCACTTTGTTTCACCTAGGTGTGCTTGATTATTGCAAGTCATTTGTTAATTCTGGACAAAGCCTTGGTGACACAGCTTGCACTTCAGGTTTTTCACCACCGTGTGTTCGTTTATGGCGTAGCAGACCGCTCTTGTGAGCAAAGGCTCGGAGGCATTCCTTGCACTTGTGAGGTTTTTCACCTGTATGCATTTGATTATGGTTTTTCAGATGGCAACTCCTAGAAAAGACTTGGGGACACACTTTGCACTTATAAGGTTTTTCTCCACTGTGTGTTCGATTATGGTATATCAAATGGCAATGCTGAGAAAAGGCTTGGGGACACAGCTTGCACTTATAAGGTTTTTCACCAGTGTGTGTTCGATTGTGGATTTTCAGATAGGAACTGACAGCAAAGGATTGGGGGCACATCTTGCATTTGAATGGCTTTTCACCCGTGTGTTTTCGATTATGGAGGATCAGACTGTCATGTTGAATAAAGGCTTGGGGACACAGCTTGCACTTGAAAGGTCTTTCACCTGTATGCATTCGATTATGGATTTTGAGATGGCTACTTCGATAAAAGGCTTGGGGACACAGCTTGCAACTGAAAAGTTTTTCACGTGTATGCGTTCGATTATGTTTTTTCAGACTGCTACTCCGAAAGAAGGCTCGAGGACACAGCTTGCACTTGAATGGCCTTTCACCTGTGTGTGTTCGATTGTGGGCTATTAGCATGGAAAGGTAGGAAAAGGTTTGGGGGCACAGCTTGCACTTTAAAGGTTTTTCACCAGTGTGTTTTCGATTATGGCTTGTCGGATCACAATTCTGAGTAAAGGCTTGCAGACACAGCTTGTACTTGTACGGATTATCCCCTGTGTGCTGAGCGTTACAGTGCACTTTGGACCTAGAGCCAGAGGACATGAGAGGATGCTGGCAGTTGAATTGTTCATCACCATGGGTAACCAGGTGGCTCATGATCCCATGCTGATCTCTAGTGGCATACGTGCAGAAACAGCATCCAAACCAGATGTCTTCAGTGGCTTTCGGTGGGCAGCAGGACTCTTCCAACAGTGCTGCTCCATCACCTAAAAGAAAAGACCATCTTGATTTGGACAGACAAGGAAAGCCCTACCAAGTTAAAGGCTTGGATTGGACATGAGTAGTCATGGTTGCAGTAGTTTCAGCTGGGGAGGTTAATATTGCACTGTCCTTTTTATTTCGGTTTACGGAAAGGCTGCAAATAATTATTTTTCTGGTGGGTGGTGCAGTGCCTTGAGTGCATTGGTCTTTGTGGTCAAAAAGAATTGAGGGAAAGCGTTCCACCAGCTCGCATTAGTAATTACTCATGGGTTTTGATCTTGTTCATTGTATATTTGCATTAAGAATACTCCAATTAGCCAATGGGAGGAAGTAACATTTCATCCACTTTGGCAAGGATTTTTTGACTCCTACTTCCCTCTGACAATGCTTTTTGATATGCCATAATTTTCTGGTGGTGATCTGTGTTGCACCCAAAGGTATGTCTGTTTTATGATTAGTTTTATAGTTCCAACTGTGGAATAAAACAAGGAAGATGAGAGGCTAGTGAGGAGCACATGCTTGTGGGCTGGGTGGTTCCCATTTCGACCCATTCCCAATACAACCTTCCCATTTGTACCTTCCTGTTTAGACCCGGCTCAAAACGACCTTCTCGTTTCATCCTTTCGCATCTCGCCCTATCCCAAAACGACCTTCCCGCTACGGCCATCGTTTGCTATCAGTTGGGTGCGAGCCAGGGTTCATAAGTGGGTCAGCAAGGACCGCAAACTATCAGAACTGGAGTGTCGCCTTCCTGATGGCATAATTTCCATGTTCGACTTTCTCAACAAGGCGAAGGCATTTTCTGGTCTATGATGTTTTCCTGTTTGCGCGAGTGTTTAGTGTTGGAAATTTTAAAAGGAAATAAAGTCGCAATCATATGCTTGTCACCAGGGATGGGCAGTATTTCAAATACAAGTATTTGAAATACGTATTTCAAATACTTTGTGTATTTTGCATTTGTATTTAATTACAAATTGGGTAATGTATTCGACATGTGTATTTAAATACTAAAACGTGGGTATTTTAAATACAATTGTAATTAAATACAATTTTGTGGGCGAAAATACATCCCTCAAATTTATTGTCACTGTCCAGAGCAGGAAGAAAACTACGCTCTGAACCGAATGCAGTGTCTCTCAATCAAGCACAAGCCTTTAGTGACTTTGTGATTACGGTGCTAGTCCAGGGCAAGAACAGTGACGAAATCAACGTTCACAGGCAGACTGGCTTATTAAGTGCCTGTGACAACTTGTGATCCTTTCCAGCCGGATTTCCATCCATACTTTTGCCTTGGACATTCTAAATGGGCGGGTCATCCAGATTTTCGTAACTGGTGCGAGTTTCCAACAATAAAAAATTCTCTAGCATGTGCTGCGCGTCTTGGTCGTCTCGGTTCTTTGTGGGCCTATATCAAAATGTAATCGACAAAAAAAGCTGCTTGAAGCTCTGTACTTTTTTCACCTATTGCGTCCAAGCTGATTACATTTTTTTGTGATTATATTTCTATTACGTTACTAGAGCCTCGCTCACTAACTCCCGGGTGTGCAATGCAAAATGAAAATGAGATACCCAGAAACCCGTTGCAGGTGCCCTGAAGTCGCTGACGCAAATTTTGAGGAATGTATTTGGAAAAGTATTTGGAGGAGACCAAATACATTTCGTTGTATTTGTATCTTGTATTTAAATGCTTTTTTGGAAATGTAATTAGATTTGTAATTAAATACATTTTTGACAAAGTATTTTGTATTTGTATTTCGATACAAATTTACATGTATTTTGCCCATCCCTGCTTGTCACCCCGTCTGATTTATCGCTCTCCAAAATATCAATTAAGATCACTAATATGAGGTTTTAGAATAATGTATGCAAGCACTCTGGGTGCCCTAAAAATATCGTAGCGATGGTGACACTAATTTCGGCTTAGCCAATGTGCTTGTGTGCGCAAAACTTTATTGTACGTAGCGTGAACAAGCAATCAGCGGTGTTGCTGTTTATCTCGTAGAATTAAAAGGCTGCCATAAATACTATTACTCTTTGGAATTGCTCATGTTTCACGGTTGCACGTTATGGGGATCATCTTGAAATGAAAATAAAACAGAAACACTTTCAGTGGTTGAAGTAAGAATAATATTACTTCGAAGCTTGCCTGAAAGAGGTGCATAATTTTAGAATACATTGGCATGCAAAAATATTTCGCAACATTTATTCTTAAATGGATACTTCAACGAAATTTGAAATACAATAAGCTGAATATGAAACGATATCCGTAAATGACAATCGCACGTCTGTATTTTGAGCGTGATGACTATTTTTCGTTATAAATGGCCCACTCTGGCAAACGCTCGGAGAGCAGCCGGCGGAGAGCACTTCACATCCGCCACAATCGTGACATAGTTTGTAGTTTGTCTCGGGACTTTACGTCCGGACGCTGCAAGTTACCCCAGCCAATCCCCCCCCCCCGAAACAAAATCCTGGCTACGTGCCTGTTTCTGAAAAGCAGGCTCATTTTCCTAATGCACATCAAATGTCCACCACCTTTGATATGCTCCTGCTCTACCCTTTTAGCATTTGAAGCTGAGCGAGCAGACACATGGAAAATCTTTTCCAGTCTCTTCCACCATTTTTGAACTACTGCCCCGCCATCTATAGAGCGCTGGAGTTGCGAGTAGGGACAGCTCAGGTGACGTTGTCCCAGGTTTTGAGAGGGTCGTGGACTAGACACCGACACTGCCCTTTGTTCATGAAACAAGTTGAAAGGAGCGACTTACTGCGACCCGAGGACTCCATCAGTTCCATACGAATCGCTGCCCGCAGTCAGGTTCATAAAGAAGCTCGCAAGATCATGAAGAATGCATGGGACGACTTCAGTTGCCTACGATAAATACAAAAGAGGAATGACAGAAATTAATAACACTGCGAGCACAGCCTCCAAACTGATCAAGCTAACCAGACAGCTGAGGATCACACACCCAAAATTTTGCCTTTTTGACATTAGAATGACGAACGAATGAGGAAACAGAACGCCTGTGTTTAGTAATGGGTGGCTTATGCCACCCGACTTAACAGGGCACAAACACCCCCAATTGGATTTTGTAGCGCGAGCTACACTCGCCAAGGTTGAGCAGTTTCGCGTGGCTCGCATAATGAGTCATGCTCCGTGCTGCACATGCGCAAGGAACAACGACGTCACACGGCGCACAGCTGGTGCGCTGGAGCTGCCGCCACCGTGCCCGCCTCGCTGGTCTGCGCACTCTAGAGGAGCGACGTCATAGCCACGGCAGACGCACTAGCGCCGCCGCGTGCCCAGCTGTGCGCCTCCGTTGCACAGTAGCCAAGTCTGACGCTGTACCGGAGCTGCTTGATAGCGCCTCTCATTTTGTGCGCATAAGCTCACGCTACGTATATCCTGCCATAGCCGAGCTAAGTCACCACAATTTTTTTTTTCCTAACTTACCAAACGATTGGACACGATACTTAGACATCACGCTCAAAATTTGAAGCCTGGAAACAGCGTATTTGCAGCTTCAAGTCAGTTATAGTTAGGATGTGCACTTTCCAGTTTTAAACAAAAACAGATAAACATCTGCCAGTGACAAGAGTACAAAATTATTTAAAACCGAAAAAAATTGGTGGTTGAATATCTTTGCACTGATTAAAAGAGAAAAACACCGGTCATTGAATGTTTCTGCCCTACCAAGGGCTATTTTCTTCGAAACATTTCCCCCATAGAGGTTTGTTAAACATGTTATCTTGTGGATCCTGCATCCTTACAGTGTCTATTCAGAGGTCGCTGTGGTTCTTGAAAAACGCTGCCAACATCAGTGTGGTCCAGGACCACAGACCTTGGAAAACACATCTTTTCGCTTGCGGAAAGGCGATGCACTCCTTGTTTACTGTTTAGTTTGCAGGGGCTTCCAGAGTATGAGTTTTGTTTGATATCACCCTGTATTGGGTTCACTGGAGCTTTTCCACTCTTTTGGATAGGGGGGCTGACGGGTGTAGGTTCTGTCAACCTCGCAGTCGCAGAAGATGCTCCGAAAATCCTGTCACTCGCACAGAGAAATGCAGATTCTGTTAGACTTTTCTCAAGCTTCGATAACGAACACTGAACAAAGAAGCAAGATGAAGCTCTGTATCTTTCAGGCAATTCTGAGACTGAAGTTGGTGCACCTACAAAGAAACCATCTTCAACACTTGACGTGCCCATCAAGCTCCTTAAATTAATGGGCCTCAATTACTCTCGCTGTGGCAGCATTCATTCACATTGACTTGGGGTGTCAGAAAAGCAAATGTCGATGGAGGAAAATCCTGATTGGTCGATAGGGTCATGACGTCATAGCCACATGACCTCGCTTGGGAATTTCAAACAAAGCTCACGTGAAACATGTCACGTGTGCAATGGAAGTGATTAGAACATAACATGTAATGTGAATTAAAGGTCGCTGCATGTCTCAAATTATTTCAATTTTTAAAGTAATTTGTTTGACTTAAAGAAAACATTTGAAGAATTTTAGGCGGGATTTAAACCCACAACACTTCGGTTGCGAGCCAGACACGCTAGTGACTATACTCCGTTTCACCTTAAGTTGTACCGCAGACAATGCTAGAAACGCGAGCTCAAAGCATTGGGAGCTACTCTTAACACACGAGAGCTTGTGCCGCCGAGATGTGCCCTAGAGCAAGGAGCTCGCGCTTGTAGCCTTTCCTGAGGTACATTATAAGGTGAAACAGAGTATAAGCCACGCAAGGCCGCTTGCACAGAGAATCAGTAGGCGATGCGAGCAGGGCCCAATAAAGCTATCGTGTTCCACTTCTTAAAGGTAAAGCTTAAACATTCTCCAAGTTATTTTTTTATCTATATTTATTATTTTTAGCCTTCTCACGAGTCGTCCAACCAAAATACGCCGGTGTTTACAATAAATAAATAATGAAAATGGCAAAAACACGCAGAGAAACAAAAAAAGAAGCAAAAAGTGGACGCTACTGCAGTTACCTAGTCACCAGAAGCCACGGCCTTGAGCGTGGCCTTGTGAAGTTTATTTCAAAGCTATGCTCTATTCAAAGAACAGTACCCATGCGAATAAGAGGTCGAGAAGTATCTGAACGTGAAACCGAGTTCTTTTACATTCGGATCGTCAATGCCGGGCTCTCCGGCCGTCGCTAATAAAACAGCCCGTGCCATGTAGGCCTGCAGTGCCACGTATAGTGATGGTGATTATGCGATGATATAACCCACAAGACGAGGATGACATGGTCTCCTGACCGCCGCAAAAACCGAGGTGGCCTGGCCGAAGTAGACGGCTGACACCCTTAAGGCATTCGCTTCATGCATCGTGCATATTGCAAACGTCATCGTGCATATCGCTAACGCCTCCTCTACAAAGATGCCTGTCAGATGGCTCGCTCTCCCCTTGCCTGCCTTTGAGTTGTAGACACGGTGTAGGAAGGCTCCTTCCTACACTGTGGTTGTAGACAAACACCAGGGCCCGCCTCCGACAGAGAGCTTAGGTTGTAGAGAGGGTCCATCTAAAACCATAGGGAGAGTTTGCAATTTAATGGCGGATGCCTCCCGCACCAGGACTGGCTGCAGGTGCGCATGCGCTGCATTGTCGAGTGGCAAGAAGGAAAGCAGGCGCAAAGGCAGAGACGCTTGCAGACAGAGTGTCAGACCTAAATTGTTTAGCGGTTCGGGTTTGGGTTTACGGCTTTTGGTTCAGTTCAGGGGAGCCAAAATAATGGTTTAAACAGGTTTGAACCTCTAAATTGAGAATATACCTACTTTCCGCTTTGTTTTTGCAATAGGCACTATTTTTGCCATGAAACGAGTAACTATATAGTTTTTTATCTTTCGTACAGATGACAATCTTTATTTTAAGGTACCAAAAATAAGAACTTGCGTTATTAAATTTCGGCGCAACAGTAAAAGCAAATCTAGAATAACATACAAAACGTTGTGTTTATAAGACTCAACACCCCGTTTGTTTTTCTCACTCGCATATATTTTACCTGAATCGAAAGGTGGTCACAAAGTGTGGTAGGGCGCCTAAAATACCCGCGATTGGTACAACTTTGCGTTGCACAATTAAAAGTCGAATCATAGTTGTGCTCTTGAACTAAAGAATTGCAATGCACAAAATCATAAACTAAGCACCTCGTTGGCATATATATCGTGTATAGTTTACAAAATATGTTGCACAAAATATATGATGACGCAACTGAGCTAAAAGCAATATTATTTCCAAAATGTCATGAACGTTTTAGGACAATCGCACTTTCAGCCTACCTTTTATAGAAACACTGAGTTGCAATCGCTACACTTGTTCATAACCAACATTGTTTACACTCAGCACCATGATGTAGGCAAAAATATTCCAAAAGCCGGGAATCATAACGATAAAAAAAAACTGTGCCGACTTTACTTCACAAGATGTACAATTGATTAAATTGTTCATCTTGTTAAGTAAAGTCGGCACAGTTTTTTTTTTATAACCACGATGTAGGCAAGGAATCATAAAGGAGCAATCAAAATTCACCCTAATCTATACGCACCTTTGTAGTCAGAATGAATCTGGCTTAAAATAGTGTGTACCCCAGTGAACATTTTCATACACAGGATAAACTTGCATAGTCTGGTTGTTGATATTTGTTCTTGACGAGATGCTGGTGAATTTAATTTACAAATAAGCATCACCCTTGCTACTTGGTGATTTTTGCTAAATAGAGCAAAGCAGTATTTTATGCTCTACTCGACATAGCAGATACTTAATTGGTCACTTTCTGACGGTCTGCGTGCGTAATTGGCATAGTTCCCTCATGTGCCCTTGTGTACTTTGTTTTTGACCAGCCCACAGACACAAACTTGTTGTTCATCACATAAAAGAGGCAATAACAGACAATAACAATAATTAACATACGTTTGAGAAGTTATGTATGTGTCTGGAACATATATAGCTATATAAATCAGCTTTAAGCCTCCCCCAAATCACTTATACACCTGCCTATCGAGGATAAAAACACCAAAAAACTTTTGCACAACATCTTTCAGATAATGTGAGGGTGATGTATAGGGTGTTACAAGTCATTAGGGTCTATATTAAATGGACCATAAAAATCGATGCCTGCAAGTAGAAATCTAAACTTTTCGTCAAAGGTTTATTTCATAGGTCGGTTTTATCTTGTGAAATTACGAAGCGTAGCTTCCTTTCTGTAAAAAAAAATAGAGCCAAGAAGCTTGCCACGGCCAACGGCGGACGGCGATGCAGACGACCAAGTCGAGTTTCGGGGAGTGTATCACGCTCATATTGATAGATGGTGTTACCTCTTTATCGAGACTGGTCGCGACCACCATGGTTTATTAAAATGAACATAATCCTTTTGTAGTGTATCTTTAATTTAAAAATAAATGCGAACTATAAAATCAAAACTTAAAGTAAAAAAAAAAAAATGTGTTTGCATAACAACGGCGCTTTTGCTGCCAACAGATTTTGTCTACAGGTCGTCTGCTTTCTTTCGCTGGTCGGCTACACCTTCGGACGTTGCTCCCGATGCCATCTATCATTATGCATGCAAAACATACCCCGCAACTCGACTCGGCCATCTGCGTTGCAGTCCCCCGTTGACCCTGGCAAGTTTTTTGGTCCTATTTTTTACAGAAACAGAGCTACACTCTGCAATTTTACAAGAAAAAACCGACCTGTGAGATACAACTTTGACGAAAAGTTTAGTTTGCTACGTGCAGGCGTCAATTTTTACAGTCCATTTTAGATCAAACCTGGTGACTTGGGACACCCTAGAGTGGTTGGCCCGTTATTTATGTTGTCAAATATTCAGTCAGTAGTTAAATATCTTTGT